CCAGAGAGAGAGAGAGAGAGAGAGAGAGAGAGAGAGAAGATATGCATGCAAACAGAGAGACAGGATCCAGTAGCCAGGGTCAGCTGGAGCAAGCCAAGCCAAGTTAGCATATACACAAAAATCACCTCCACCCTTCAAATATGGAGTTGTTGGAGAGGGAGAAGAGCTTGAAAAGGGAGATGGTCCTGGCATGAATCTGTGTCCAAATACCTTTTCCCTTACTTGTCCCAGAGCCATGAGGTATGAACTCATGATAACCAGGTATATAAAGGCTGAGTGAAGTATTGTTTTCAGGAATTCTTCATCATCTGGCTATAGAAGGGGGATGAGAACTGGGTCATGTGCTTCTGCAGCCAGACTAAGCACCAAGTCTCATATCACATGAGCATTCGCCAGCACCATGCCTGGCACATGCCAGTGAGGAAGATCTATTTGACTAGAAAGGAAAAGAATCTCTTTGAATGGCATTTAAAAGGTATCAGCGGCCAAGCACTGGTGGCTTATGCCTTAATCCTAGCTACTCGGGAGGCTGAGAGCTAAGGAACTGGACAGGAAAAGTTCATGAGACTCTTATCTCCAATTAACCACCAGAAAACCAGGAGACAAGCTGTGGCTCAAACTGGTAGAGTGCTAGCCTTGAGTAAAAGACCTCAGGGAGAATGCCCAGGCCCTGAGTTAAAGCCCCATGACAAAAAAAAAAAAAAAGTATCAGTAGAGTCAAAGGATCCTCTCACTTTGCCCAATCAGTGATGAGTAACTCAACAACTGGCTTGAGGCATGTCAAATGCCAGGTTCTGTTCCAGGTGCACACTGAGCAGCTGTAAAGGTTTCATTCCTGTCCCTATACTGCTTACTGCTTGCCATATGTTGGACAGAAGTAATAAATGATAAGGATGGTGAAGACAATACACTTGAGTACAGAAATAGTGAATTGCTTTGAGGAAAATGACTTGAAATATAAATAGTAAAGAAATTCTTTGGGCTGGGAAGGTGGCTTAGTGGTAGGTAGAGTACTTGCCTAACATGCATGAAACCCTGGGGTTTGATTCCTCAGTACCACATAAACAGAAAAAGCAGGAAGTGGTGCTGTGGCTCAAGTGGTAGAGTGCTAGCCTTAAACAAAAGAAGCTCAGAGACAGTGCCCAGGCCCTGAGTTCAAGCTCCAGGACTGGCAAAAATACAATAAAATAAAAATAGCATTTTAAAAAGCCCCTCGTGTAGTTGGATGTGCACAAAGCTGGATGTGATAGAGTACTGGCCTGGCAAGTGCGAGAGCCTGCTTCCATCCCTAGCACTGCAAAAAGACAAAGAAGAAAGGCCTTTCTGCATGTGTTGTGTTTGGTGTGAGATCTGAATGTGATGCTGGAGGGAGCTGAGTGAAGCATAGAAGAGGGGCCCAAGCATAAGAACAATGAGGGCAAAATCTGTGCAGCCAGATGTGCCTTGGCTTGTTCAAGGAATGGAAAATATAAGGCTCTGCATGCAGCTAGAGCAGAAGGAATGAAATGGGGGCGGGTCCACCTGCACACTCCGTCATGCAAGACATCGTGCAAGAGCTTTCAACATGATCAGTGGCTGGAGCCCATCCCCAGAGGTTCTGTCTAATTAGTTTGAAATATCACCTGGGCAACAGCAGTTTGAAAGTTTCCCAGGTTTTACCATGCAGTCAAGATAATGAACTAGGCTGGGCACCAGTGGCTTATACCTCTAATCCTAGAAGCTCAGGAGGTTGAGATCTGAGGACTAGGATTTGAAGCCAACCCAGGTAAGAAAGTTCGTGAAACTCTTATCTCCAGTGAACCAACAAAAATAACAGGAAGTGGAGCTGTGTTTCAAGTGGTAGAAAGCTATCCTTGGTAAGAAAAGCTCAGGGACAGGGGCCAGGCCTTGAGTTTTAACCTTGAGTTTAAGCCCCAGTACTGGCACACACCCCACCCTACCCTACCCCAAACAAAAACAAACTGAACTACTGACAAGAGAAGTTTTTGGGGTCCGTGGCAGGACACTTGCATTGGTGACAGTAGCTAGGAGGTTTCTGAAAGGACTCAGAGACCGTTTCCTTACACTTCAGGCCTAGTTCCAGAAAAAAGAAAAATTATTGTCAAGAGCTAGACAAGTTAGAAATGGAGCCAAGAAAATTAAACAGTCCAAAGGGAAAGATACAAAAAGGACCAACAGGGGCTGGGAAGGTGGCTCAGTAGTAGAGCACTTGCCTTGCATGCATGAGGCCCTGGGATTTGATTCCTCAGCACCACATAAGCAAAAAGAAAAAAGCCGGGAGTGGCGCTGTGGCTCAAGTGGTAGAGCGCTAGCCTTGAGCTGAAGAGCTGAGGGACAGCGCCCAGGCCCAGAGTTCAGGCCCCATGACCGGACCCCCCTCCCCAAAAAAAGGACCAACTACAAGACCAAGAGAGATAGCAAGATTCACAAAGCAGGACAAATAGTGAGGTGTACAAACAGCCATGTGCAGCCAGGTACAGTGGTGCATGGCTATAATTCTAACACTTGAGATCTGGTGCATAAAGAGTTCAAGTCTGGGGCTGGGAAGGTGGCTCAGTGGCAGAGTGCTTGCCTTGCATGCATGAGGTCCTGGGTTCGATTCCTCAGCACCACATAAGCAGAAAAAGCTGGAAGTAGTGCTGTGGCTCAAGTGGTAGAGGGCTAGCCTTGAGCTGAAGAGCTGAGGGACAGCGCCTAGGTCCAGAGTTCAGGTCCCACGTCCAGCAAAAAAAAAAAAAAAAAAAGAGTTCAAGTCTGAGGCCAGAATGGAGCTACATAATGAGACTTTGTCCCATAGCAAACAAACAAACAAAATAAGCAAACAAAAAACAAAAAACCCTATGCTAGTGCAGACAGATTCCAAGAGCCACAGACCCAGGAGGAAAGAACAAGCACATAGTTTCCTATTGCTGCTGTAACAACATCACCACAAACTTAGTGCCTTAAACAACATACATTTATTGTCTTAGAATTGTGCAGTTCACAAGTCTGGACAGGGTCTCGCTGGGTAAAATCAAGGTGTGAGCAGGGCGTGGTTTTATCTGGATGCTGTAGTAGAAAATCCATTACCATCGCTTCTGCGGCTTTTAGAGGCAGCTTTTAGAGGTCTTTTAGGGAGAGGGAGAAGGGCTTGAGGGCTTCCTTAAATCACAGCTCCTTTTCTCAATTCTTCAAAGCCAGCAATGTCGGGCTGAGTACTTCTTATGCTGGTGCTCTGTGGACCAGTGTAATAGTTTCCGTACTTTAAGCCCAACTAATTGTTCCAGCTACACATTAATTCCCCATTTCCAAATAAGGTAACATAGTCACAGTTTCCAGGAAATAGAATGTGGTATCTTTTTTTTTTGGGGGGGGGAGTGGGAAATAATTCTACGTACTATAGCATAGACATGAACTTTTTGCCCAATAGATTGTGATCATCCTTGTAGGTATTGTGCTTAAGGTTTGTTTGTGCATTTTATGAGCACTGAGCAGGGAGTGTTGCTCCCAAACAAATGTACATACATTTGTTTGTGCAGATTTGTTTACCACCCTGTCATACTTGAGTATCTTCCTAATTGGGATAGGGGAGGAGGAAGAAGAGCGCTGGAGGGGGTATGTAATAAAGTGCTGCTGCTCCATAAAGACTCTGTGCTCTGGTATTATTGTTACTGTTGGCAGTAAAACTAATGACAGAGTGTCTCTTTACATGTTTTGGTTGAGCATGTCCTTCTATCCCCTAAATAATCCTGGTGTCCATACTAGTGATATTCAATGGATATGAAACTATTGAGAAATACTTGCGATGTTTGCACTACACAAGTGTATCTGTGCGTGCATATTGACCTTTGGACATCTATATCTACATAACTGCTACACAGCAAATTGCATGATCACAAATGTACATAGCCAAAGATATACTTATTATCACCTCCCCAAAGGTAGCCAGTCTAGAGACACATGACATGGTAGAAAGAGAGGAGGAGGGAGGGAGAGGAAAGGACAAGGAAAAAGAAAGAAGAGAGAAGAAAAGGATGGTAGCAGAAAAGAGACAGAAAGAGGTGAGGGAAGAGGGTATAAGGAAAGAAATTGGGGGGAGGGGAGCAGGAAGCAAGAGAGAGCTTCAGGCATCTGCAGTGGTAAGAGGTCATACCCAGGGCACAATCCGAAGAAGATGTGGGTATGGCTCCTCAGTCTGGTCATTCTCTTGGTGTGTGATCTTGACAACAAGCCCTGTTCTTTGGGTCTCAGTGATCCAAGACCATTGACATAGATCATTCTGGGGCCATCCCAAAGGAGAGAAAAAGAAAAATGAAAATAAGAACACACCGAAGAAAAGAAAGCATGAGAAAGACATAAGAAAGTGAAGAGAGGCCCTGGGAGCCAGCAAAAGGCCTTCCCTGACTCCTTGAGGCAGGAATGTGGGCGTCTGCCCCCACTCCTTATCCCAAAGCTCCACAGTGTCCTTAGGCCCTTAATAGGTAAGGAAGAGGGAAAGCAGAGAGGCGCCGGCAATGACAGCCACACACACCAACACTCGAGGCCTGCCAAAGCCACACCAACCAGGATCCGAGCTTCCGGCCCCCGGCCCCTAGATGTAGGTGTGCCAGCCACCTGGAATGACTCACGCCCTGGCGATGTGAGCGCCAATGCCAGGAGCGAGCCCGAGGCACGCTGCCCATCGGCGCACCGCAGGCATGGGGCTAGGCGAGCTCCTGGCTTTTTTTGGAGGGGTAACCAGGGGGGTCTACCCAGCCCACGTATCCTTTACCTTGTCCCCAGAGCGCCCCCTAGTGACCACCTCTTAGGAGAGGACCAGGGTATTAGATTCTCTCCACTCTCCTTCCCCAAACTTCACCGAGGGAAGCGGGAGAACCAGCTGAGGTATTACGCAAGGCTGGATGTTTACCTCCTGCCAGAGCCTCCTCCCTCCCTATAAAGCCTGACGTGGTGGGGGAGACTCGCCAAGACCGAGACTATCTGGAGCGAGAGGCAGATCCCCAAGGCAGAAAGTTCATGAGGGAGGCGGAGAGAGGGCCATCGAGTCAGCCAGCAGTCGGGGCGGCCGGCCACCTGCGCTCTCGCCCGCGATCGCGGGGGTCTCGGAAAGGGTGGCGCCCAGACCCCAGCTTCCCATGGAGGCGCCTGAGCTGGGCCCAGGGTTGGTGGAGCGTTTGGAGCAGCTGGCGACGTGTCCGCTGTGTGGGGGCCCCTTCGAGGATCCAGTGCTTCTGGCGTGCGAGCACAGCTTCTGCCGCGCGTGCCTGGCCCGCTGCTGGGGGGCCCCGTCGGCGCTCGGCGCGGAGGCGCCCCCCACCGCCTGCCCCTGCTGCGGCCTGCCGTGTCCCCGCCGCAGCCTGAGGTCTAACGTGCGGCTGGCCGTGGAGGTGCGGATCAGCCGTGGGCTGCGGGAGAAGCTGGCGGAGCCTGGGGCCCGCACGGGGAAACGTCGAGGAGGCCGCATTCCCACCATGGGCTGCTTGGACCCGCACGGAGAGGTGAGATTGGTGCGGGGCCGGGGGAGGCTTGGTGAATCCGCAGCTATGGTGAGAAAGAGGTCGGGGGGAAGACTCACACATGCCCTGGGTGATGGCTTTGGGCAAGGTGAGAAGAAGGTGTGGGGAGGGGAGGGGAGCAGCCGAGTCTCCAGCTGTCCTCAAGGTCAAAGGTGCCTGGAAGCACCATGGGAAGGAGTTGATTCTTGGTCCACGGAGGCGGGCTTGGCTGGACAGAGGCCTGGGAGAGGGAGAGGCGGGTTGGGCAGCAGAGAGGATGTGAAGATCTCTGGAGACCCCTGGTGCCTGTGATGTGCGCGGGAAGCGCAGGAGCCTGAACCAGGGCTGCGTCTAGGAAGGGCCGAGCTGGCAGATAGAGGGGAGCTGGTGACCCAGCTAGGACAGCCAGGGGACCCGATGGATGATGAGCGAACCAAGAGGAAGAGGCTGGAGAAAGGAGTGCAGAAAAAGCTGTAGGGAAAGAAGTCGACTGTCTAAAGGGTAGAGGGACAAGGATCACATCCAAACAGCCCTTAGTGGGAGTGGAGGTTCCCGAACTCCGGGCCTAACCTAGCCAAGCCGGGTGTTGTTGTGATGTTGTTCTCAGCTCCTCCCAGGTCCCCAGGCTGAGGCGGTGACAGGTGGAAGCCAGGTGCCCCAGAGCAAACACTGGGGTCTCCGCCTTCCCTCCACATCCCAGCTTTATTGCTTTCCCACCCTGCCCTCCTCCCAGTACCAAATTCCTTGGCCACCAACCAGCCCCATTTGCTTGGCGACCCCCAGGCGTCTGAGGCTGGCTTGCCCCCAACAGCTCATCCTGTCTTGAGTCTTGCTTCCGCCCTTTGAAGTCTTCACAGGCCTAATTAGTCTAGGTGTAATTGGCATAATTAGGCAAGTTGCCTTTCCTCTCCTCTCTCCCCCTCCCCACCGCACTGGCCTGCTCCAACCATCCTTCTTAGACAGTGAAGAGGAAGAATCTGTGTTAGGGTGGAGGGGATCCCTGTTTTTGGAGAGGAGATAATCCAGCGCCCTCTTCTGGCTCCTGTGGGTCTCCTTGAGATTTGTTGGGCCTCTTGGAACACATCCAAGTCCAGCCGCCTCCTTGGTCAAGGTAGAGAGACACAAAACAAAGAGCCCAATAAACGCCACTGGCTTTTATGACAAGAGAGGAAGCAGCGTTATTGTAAGGATTTTATGTACCAACTCTTAGTTCAAGGGCTCAGGGTGTGTTTGTGTGATGGTGCAGGAGGGGGTGGACATTTGGGGCATACTCAGGGTGATGGCTAGGTTGGGGCTACTGTCAAAGGCAGGATTGCAGATGGCAAGGTAGGAGTGCAAAGTTAATGACTCTGGAGGCAAGAAAGAGGCATTGAGAAGGACAAAGATAAAGAGGATAAAGAAAGCATTGGAGTTGGGTGCTGGTGGCTCACGCCTGTATCCTCACTACTCAGGAGGCTGAGATCTGAGGATCACAGTTCAAAGCCAGCCCAGGCAGGAAAGTCCATGAGTCTCTTATCTCCAATTAACCACCAGAAAACTGGAAGTGGTGCTGTGGCTCAAGTGGTACAGTGCTAGCCTTAAGCTGAAGAGCTGAGGGACAGTGCCCAGGCCCAGAGTTCAAGCCCCAAGACCAAAAAGTAAAAAATAAAAAAGAAGGCATTGGGGTAGAATTAGGGGAATGAGAGGAAAGGGTGAGGATGGAATGAGAGCAAGGAAAGGTCATAAAAGAGGAAGAAGAGAGAATAAATGGGAAAAAGGAAAATAGAGGGAAAGAAGTTGAGTCCAACTGAGGTGATGGGGACAGCACCTACTTAGTCACGTGGGGCAGGGCTGGGGTGAGGGGAGGACTGTTCACAGTATAAACCCAGCACTCACATTTCTGTTTTCTTCTCCCCACCCCAGGATATGAGGAAGACATGGAGACGGTGAGTTCTACTACTCTTGTTTCTTCTTTTCCACTAGCAGTAGACATTGCTATCTCCCCCCCACACACACTAGTAATAAACATTGCTATCACACACACACACACAACTTGAAATCAGCATTTACAAGCAGGTTTACTGGGGGTGTGACTTTGTATGATCCTGCTCTAGAGAAGTGAGTGGGTAAGGAGTAGGGGCATCGGAAGAAGATAGAGATTTGTCTAAAGGTTTCCTGACCCTTCTCCTCATCTGTCTAGGTTTGATGTCCCAAGACCCAAGTCATCTAATTCAGAGGAAGATCTCCCTGAAGATTACCCAGTGGTCAAAAACATGCTTCATAGACTTACAGGTAAGAAAAGGATTTTTGTATTTGCTGGTCCTTGGGCTGGAACTCAGAACCTAAGTGCTGTCCTTTAGCTTTTTTTTTTTCTTTTTTTCTCAAGACTTGCATTCTACCACTTGAGCCACAGCTCCACTTCCAGCTTTTTGGTGCTTAATCTGAGATGAGAGTCTCAAGGACTTTTCTGCCCGGGCTGGCTTCAAACCTCTATCCTCTGATCTCAGCCTCTTGAGTAGCTAGGATTATAGTTGTGAGCCACAGGCACCAGACTAGGAAGAAAAGGAACCAAATGAGAGAATTGCTAAATTTGCTCCATTTTAGCTCTCAAAAATGATTTTTGATGTCTGCATTAGGCTCTTACAACTACTATAACAAAGTAACACAATTAGGTATGGACATTCGATTTATTTATTTATGTGCTGGTACTACGGGTTAAACTCAAGGGCCTGGGCACTGTCCCTGAGCTTCTTTTGCTCAAGGCGAGCACTCTATCACCTGAGACACAGCGCCACTTCCAGCTTTTTCTGTTTATGTGGTACTGACAAATGGAACCTAGGGCTTCATGTATGCTAGGCAAGCACTCTAGCCACATTCCCAGCCCCCCCCTCCCTTTTTAAAATAAAGGCTGCTGCTCTACCACTTGAGTCACAGCTCCATATTTGGCTTTTTTTTTTTGCTACGTAATTGGATGAGGGCCTCATGACCTTTCCTGTCTGGACTGGCTTTGAACCTTGATCCTCTTGAGTAACTAAGATTACAGACATGAGCCACAAGCACCCCACTGGCATAGATATCTATCATCTCAAAGTCTAGAAGTAGAAATCTGAAATCCAGGTATCAACAGTATTGACTCCTTCTGAGACTAAGGAGGAGTCAGTTCTATGCCTTTCTCCTAGCTTCTGGCAGCTTCTCAGTTTCTTAGCTTATAGATGCTCTTCATGTTGTCATGGTCTTCCCCGTGTGTGCATTTGTCTCTGTTCAAATTTCCCCTTTTTATAAGGTATTAGGAACACCCCCAATGACCTCATTTTAAAGTTAATTACCTCTATAAAGACCCTATAAAGTCAATTTAGAGACACTGGAGTACTTCAACCCATCTTTCATATGTGAAGGCACAATTTAAGCCAGAACAATGTCTGTTCTTACCTTCTCATATTCCAGCCCATATCCCTCTAGCAAATGACACTTAAACAGACCTCTGGAGCTCAGGACCCTGCCTGCCTCTCAGAAATCTCTGAGCTTCCACCATTTATATCAATCTTGTCTAGAAGGGTCCCAAAGACTCCATCATCGCCCCCCCACACCATTTATTTCTTCCCTTCCCCCTCCTTCCCGAAGATGCTCTCCACCCCTTATTAAATTGTGCAAAGATATTCTATCCTCAGAGTCATCCATCATCCCACCTAAAGCACTCCATACACACAGGTCCCTTTGGCTATCTCTACTTTCTTCTCCACCCCATGCCCCTGGGAGAAATAAGCCAGTCTACCACCACCTGTGCCCGAAGGTGGGTGGGCTGGTTTTGCAGGATGTCTTGGATTCCTCCGAGTGCCCCTCCCCTCCGTCACTTGGGGTTCCGGTATCAGGTATCAGTCTTTTATTGAGTTCCACCTTCCCCATCCTGCTGACCCAGCTCCCACGCCCCACCCCAGATGCAGCCGATTGAAGTATTAGTTCTCCTCCTCCTTCTCCTCCTCCAATACTACAAAACACGCACCGGACCTCCGCGCTGAGCCCCTCTGCCTGGGCCGCCACCATCCCTCCCCATGTTCAAATCCACGGGGGTGCATCAGCGCGCAGGCCTGATCCATTTCGCGGCTGCCTTCTGAGTTGGTGCCTAGGTTGTGCCCTCGATGGCCTGTTCTCCGCCCGACCCCGCTCCAGACTGGGAAACCGCCCTCACACTGCCTCCTCCTCTGCAGCCGACCTGACCCTGGACCCGGGCACCGCCCACCGCCGCCTGCTGGTTTCCACCGACCGCCGCAGCGTGCGCCTGGCGCCGCCGGGGACGCCCGCGCCCCTGGACGGCCCCGCGCGCTTCGATCAGCTCCCGGCCGTGCTGGGCGCCCAGGGCTTCGGGGCCGGTCGCCACTGCTGGGAGGTGGAGACCGCGGAGACCGCCTCCGGCAGAGACTCCTCCGGGGAGGACGAAGAGGATGGGGAGAGCCGCTACGCCGTGGGCGCGGCTGGGGAGTCGGTGCAACGCAAGGGCCGCATCCGGCTGTGCCCGGCGGAGGCCGTGTGGGCCGTGGAGGGCCGCGGCGGGCGCCTGTGGGCCCTCACCGCACCCGAGCCCACCCTGCTGGGCGGCGCGGGCCCCCCGCCGCGGCGCATCCGCGTGGACTTGGACTGGGAGCGGGGCCGCGTGGCCTTCTACGACGGCCGCTCGCTGGACCTGCTGTTTGCCTTCCAGGCACCTGGGCCCCTGGGCGAGCGCATCTTCCCCCTGCTGTGCACCTGCGACCCCCGCGCCCCCCTGCGGATCGTGCCAGGAGAAAGTTGAGACCCCCCTGGCACCCGCTCCAGCTTGGCCAGCCAGCCTCAAGGCTGCTTCCTCTCGAGTGGTGAAATCGCCGCTCATTTAAATGACCACGCCCATAGCCCCCCCACAAACCCGCATTCTCCCTCAAATGACTTCAGCCGGCTTCCAGATCCTTCTGTGCCCACAGCTGCAGCTTTGCTCTCACTCTTTTTACTTCCCACAGGAGTTCTCCCCTCTCAGTACTATTCCAGGCCTGGGTTGGGCATCAGGCACTCTGCCCATCAGTATTGGTAAGCAGCCCAACGTTTACTACCAAGGCCTTGCCTCTCTTGGCATCATAAGACCAGTGCCTCCTACACATCTGGAAGACTGGAGCTTCTTGGTCCACTCTGAACGCTCCCCACAAGAAACAAGATCCTCCTCCCTAGGAAGCCAAATACACTCTGTGTGTGTGTGTATGTGTGCGCGCGCACACACACACACACACAAGCCAGCTCTACTTAGTAACTCTTCCGTGACTACTTACATAGCCTTTTTCCATTAAAAAAAAATACCCTCTTAAAACTGTCCCTTGCACATAAAGGAACCACTCAATGGTGCTACCTCCCCTCTCCTCAACCTGGGAATGACAGAGACATCCTTGTACATACTCTCTTTTCCCGTATGTATAAATGGGCCCGTATTTAACACATTTTGTGATGGGTTATTTATTTTGTGCATTTGTGGCAATAAATGAGATCTCAGTGGTGGTAAAGATCTGACTGATCTCTGCAACTGTGCATGGCAAGAGGCCTGGGAAATGATAACCAGGTGTAGGGAGGGCTGAGGCAGCCCACCGTTTGGGTTAGTGGAGACATCAAAGCTTAGGAAGGATGGGGTAGCAGTACAGTATGCCCCTTCTCTTTGCTGTCTCCCATTGCTTTCCTCTCCCACTGACCCAGGCTGTGAAGCTGTACTAGATGTCTCTGAAGCTGAATAACTAAAGGCTAAGAAAATCCTTTACTCAAGTCTTAAGCCTAGGAACCCCAGGGTTCCTGGCAAATGACTAGGGTGGGGAGAGATGACAAGACTATTTCCTGTTCCACTTTCCATCAGAGGTATGAATGACTGGCAAAGACCTCTCTACAGACTCCTTTTAAGGGCAGAACGGATCGGCAGGGGAAGTGCTGGGAGCCCTGTGGTCTCCCATAAATTCTCATATCCCACAGGCAAGGACTAAAAATTAGACTATATATGTGTATAAATGGAAGAAATCTAAGCCAGGATTAACAAGCATAGCTGGGGCAAAATTGCCTGGAATCTGACTGGGACCCTGGCAGTGAAAGCTGGGATCATTGAAAACCCAATTTCAGTGTTTGGACTCAAGTTGACAGTGCAGGGGGCCAAGATAACTGGATCCCAGGACAGGCAGTTTGGCAGTGAAAATAAAGGGAAGAGATTGGGACCAAGATGCCTAGATCCCTACAAGGGGAACTGGGGGTAAAGAGGCTGAAATGAGGGCTAGGGGAACCCAAAGGCCTGGGTTCTGGAATAGCAGCAAGTCAGGATTCTAGGATCTCTGTCCAGCCTCCTCTTTCTCTTCTCCCTATCAGACAGAGAGGGAAGGAGGGGGCTAGAGTAGGGATCAAACCAAGGGTTTAGTTTCAGGTAGCCATATGGATACATTCAGGGCCAGACAGACACAGGAATGGTAGGGGAGAGGAATTTAGTGCTGCATTGGCCCTGGAGGAGGCTGGGAGGGGTCAGGAGGCTGAGGAGGGGTCGTAGGGGTCGCTCCTGGAGTTGTAGGACGCCGTCCTTTTCGATGGCCCCGTACACAGTGTGTATGACCACAGCCTTCCTCTTCCTCCTCTTCACTTTCAGTGGAGCTTTCGCCGAAGGCTCGAGGTTTTTCATAAATACAGCAGCCTGGATTTGGAGGGAGGAGCTCAGTTAAAAAAGAGGAAGAATAGATGTTCAGTTAAGAGCCAGGCATGGTAATACATCCTAATAATCCAAGCACTCAGGAGGCTGAGTAAGGTAGGAAGACTAGTGTGTGTGAAGGCAGTCTGGGTCATACAGGGTGATTTCTAAGCCCTCCTGAACTATATATAGCAAAACCTTGCCAAAAAAAAAAAGGAAGGAAGAAAGGAAGGAAGGAAGGGAGAGAAAGAAAGGGAAGGAAGGAAGGAAGGAAGGAAGGAAGGAAGGAAAGAAGGAAAAAAGGAAGAGAAAAAGGCAGGCAAGTAGGCTGGATGGATGCTGGTGGCTCAGGCCTGAAATCCAAGCTACTCAGAAGGCTGAGATCGGGGCTGGGAAGGTGGCTCAGTGGTAGAGTGCTTGCCTTGCATGCATGAGGCCCTGGGTTCAATTCCTCAGCACCACATAAGCAAACAGAAAAAAGACGGAAGTGGCGCTGTGGCTCAAGCGCTAGAGCGCTAGCCTTGAGCTGAAGAGCTGAGGGACAGTGCCCAGGCCCAGAGTTCAGGCCCCATGACCGGACCCAAAAAAAAAAGAAGACTGAGATCTGAGGATCTGGGTACAAAGCCAGCCTGAGTAGAAAAGCCTCTGTTGAGACTCTTATGTCCAATTAACCACCCAAAAACCTGGAAGTGGCCAGGCACCCGTGGCTCATACCTGTAATCCTAGCTACTCAGGAGGTTGAGATCTGAGGATCGTGGTTCAAAGCCAGCCCAGGCAGGAAAGTCTGTGAGACTCTTATCTCCAATTAACTACCAGAAAACCGGAAGTGGCACTGTGGCTCAAGTGGTAGAGCTCTTGGCTTGAGTCGAAGAGCTCAGGGACAGCGCCCAGGCTCAGAGTTCAAGCCCCATGACAGACAAAAAATAAACAAACAAAAACTAGAAGTGGAGCTCAGGCTCAAAGTGGTAGAGTGCTAGTAGCCTTGAGCAAAGGAGCTCAGGGATTGTGCCCAGGCCCTGAATTCAACCATCACAATCAACAACACAAGAAAGAGAGAAAAAGGCAGAAAGAAAGACAAAGACAGACAGAAGGAAAGAGAGAGAGAGAGAAAGAAAGAAAAGAGAAAGAAAAGAAGTCCAGTCAGTTCAAGTCCCACTGGATCTCTGAAAATTCCTTTTATCACTGTCTCCTCTCATCTTCCAGGTTCTATCTTCTTCAGCATTCCCTCCCCTTACCAGAAACTCAGGCTCTCATCCACTTTACTCTGCTAGAAAAGCCAAGAACAAAGCTCTACTTTTCTCACTCTGATACCTCCTAGCTATCAGGCCTTCTAGCTCTACCATTCTTCTCTCCAACTTTACTGTTTTTTTTTTTTTTTTTCCCTGAGAAGTGCTAAGAAAACCACTAAGAAAATGACTGGGGGCCCAGTGAACATGAGAAAGCAGAAGATATATAGAAGCAAATCAGAACTCTAGGGATACTGGGGGCCCACAGTTTACTCACATTTTGATGAACGACGCCCCATATGTTCATTGTCCACAGTGTCACTTGACCATTCTACTTTTTTCTCTGGCTTCCGTTTACGAAGTTTGATGGTTAGACTCCGGTTCTCCTAGAAGGTTAAGAGGTGTTTTGTTCCTACAGATCTTTCCCATTCCCATTCCCAGTACCACCAGATGATACAGCAGCAGAAGAGCCAAGTGCTGGGAGATGACAAAAACAGGATGGGCCTTTAACTGCAGCAAATCCTTGACTATTACTTATTACTGAAAAGACACAATTCCTAACATAGGGAAGGTCCCAGAAAATCTTCAAAGGAAAATATAATCCTCTATATTTCTCCATTTTCTTCCCCACATCATCCTTGGTGGTATTACTCATGAAAATGATTTTCTCAGTCCCAGTAACTCATCTTTGACCTCCTTTTCTTTTTCAAGACCTCCTCTATTCCTTTTCACATTAAACAAACAAACAAAAACCTTGCCAAGCTTAGTGGCACAAGTCTGCAAAACAAAAACAAGAAAAAAAACCCCACGAAATAAAAAGAAAGCTTTCTCTTTATCTCTCTCATCTTCAAGCCTCGCCCTTCCCTAATATCTGTCTTTTCCCTAACATCCTGGCATTTCCAGTAACAATTACTTCTAAACTATGAAATGCCCCGAATCCACACATTATTAAACCCAAATGCAATCTTCTGCCTTTGAAAGCAATTTCCCACTTAGATATCCCCTCTTTAATGTTTCAAAATGCTATCTTCTTATTTGGTCCCCTCATTCCCTCTACTTTCGTTGACATCCATTCAATTATCTATGCTTCTGGGCAAATTCCTCTATTGCTGGCCTCTAAGCTTTCTCACGCAGCCTTTCATTTCCTCCCAGTACCATCCTAGGTCCTTAACCCTCAATTTCCCTTAAACAGACCACCACAGCAAGCAACAACAACTACAACCCAACTCTAACTCCCTACTACGGACGCCAGGATCAGCCGCTAGTACGATGTCTGCCACTCAAAACATCTCCTGTCCCTTGAGATCATTCCCAACCCGACAGTCGCCCCCACTCCTCCCAGACGCCCAGGCCCCCCAACAACTTTCCAGAGCCCTGTGCCCTCCCTCCTGGAAGGGTATCTTCCAGACCCCCAAACAGTACCACCCACCACCACCCACTCCCCCGCCTTTCTCACGGGCTCGGTTGTCACGGTAACCGTTGTCTCAGTGACGGTCTCACTCAGCCCAGCCCCTGCCTCAGCCATGGCTAGGGCTGAGAAGAGGGAGGAGGGGAGGAAGGGGGATGAGACACCCTTCCCTTTTGCTGTTCTCTGAGTTCTAAAAGAATCGGTATCCGGTTCACAGTAGTAGCCAGGATCTTCTGCCTTTTTTTTTTTTTCTCCCCCTCCTACAGGGCCTCTTGTTTCCCCACCCCTGGGGAATAACCTAATTCCACTTCCGGCTTTGCACTTCCGGGTGTGACGCATTCTGCAGTCCCCCGAATGCGTTACGGCGCAGGCGTCACTGGCTTGGTTCCGCCGTAATACGGCAGCGCGCAAGCGCCGCAGTAGCTGAGCCAATCTCCTGGTCCTTAACCCTGGGTGGGGAAATGGATATCATGGAGACTGGATCACGACCAAGGCCTATATCCTTGTTGTTACATCTGGGTCTGTTTCGTGAGAACGGGACCTGGGAGCAGTTGTCATTAAGAACCAAAGTCTACACGACACAGATCAAAGGAGGATACTCTTAGGAGAGGAACAGAAAGTCACAATGCCTATGTGCATCTGAGCATATAAACTTTATTAAAATGAACTCCAGGAAGCGGAAAACTTCCTTTCTTTGTTGCTGGTTTTTTTTCTTTTCATCTTGTTTATCTTTTTAGGAGGGTAAGAGGGGCTCAGAAATGGACAAAGGGCGAACAAATGCACCATTGCTACTCACTAGACACTATATACCGCCATGCGCTTGTGGCTCACACATCTCTAGCTATTCAGGAGGCTGACATCTGAGGATCACAGTTTAAAGCCAGCCCAGCCAGGAAAGTTAGTGAGAATTATCTCCAATTAGCCAGCAGAAAGCCAGAAATGGAGCTGTGGCTCAAGTGATAAAGCACCCAGGCCCTGAATTTAAGCCCTAGTATTAAAAAAAAGAAAAAAGGGAGGGAGGTAAAGAAAGGGAAAGTCCCAGCTGTTAGGGTGATCCTATCTCAAAAAACAAAAAAAACCCCCATTGGATTGGGACTTAGCTCAAGTAACTGGAAGGTATAAAGTGGAGTAAAAAAATGTTTTAAATTTGGGGATTGGGTTAGGAAAGCCAAATGTAGAACAGTTAAATGTACAGTGAGGAAGACTGCCCTTCCCATATCTACTAGTTGTAGTGTGTGTGAAGGTGGGAGGGTGTCAAACAAGAGATTATGTTTGAGAACTATATAGGCCATGCAATTCCAAGATACTCATTGCTACTTAATTCCATTTAAGCAAAATAAATCAGAAATAGTGATTCCTAGAATCAGAACTTGATTATGTTCTCATTGTTCCTCTAAAATGCTTTTGATGTAGGGGTTTGGGAAGTGGTTCAAACAGTAAAGTGTTTGCCTAGCACATACGGCCTTGAGTTCTAAGCCAAAAAAGAAAACCAAAGTTCAAATCAAGAAAATTAGGGGCTGTGAAGGTTGCTAGTGGTAGAGTGCTTGCCTTGCATGCATGAGGCCCTGGGTTCAATTCCTCACCACCATATAAGCAGAAAAAGCTGAAAGTGGCACTGTGGCTCAAGTGGTAGAGCACTAGCCTTGAGCTGAAGAGCTGAGGGGTAGTGCCCAGGCCCAGAGTTCAGGCCCACAACCAACGAAAGAAAGAAAGAAAAGAAAGAAAGAAAAAGAAAGAAAGAAAGCCGGGCACTGGTGGCTCACACCTGTAATCCTAGCTACTCAGGAGGCTGAGATCTGAGGATCGAGGTTCAAAGCCAGCCAGGGCAGGAGAGATCGTGAGACTCCTATCTCCAATAAGCCACCAGAAAACCGGAAGTGGCGCTGTAGCTCAAGTGGTAGAGCACTCGCCTTGAGCTGAAGAACTGAGGGACAGCATCCAGGCCCAGAGTTCAAGCCCCACGACTGACAAAAAAGAAAGAAAGAAAGAGGGAGGGAGGGAGGGAGGGGAGGAGGAAGGAAGGAAGGAAGGAAGGAAGGAAAAAAAGAAAAACAATTCAGCAACAACTCAGGGCCTACGCACTGTCCTGGAGCTTCTTTTGCTCAAGGCTAACCCTTACCAATGAGCCACAGACCGTTTCCAGCTTTTTATGTTTATGTGGTACTGAAGAATCAAACCCAGGGCTTCATGCATGCTAGGCAAGCCCACCTACAGTTATACTATAATTTTATCTCTTAATATCTGTTTTTTTTTTTGGTCTGAATTTATATACCAATGGATCTGGTCAACATTATGTTGACTCTGTTGTCAAACTCCCAATTTTTATTTCCTTCATTCAGTAACAAGATTTAGACAGTGTTAGCATCAAATAGGTGATCATTTCTTTTTCATATGAGCCTCATTTCTGGCTCTATGATTTTGTCATTGTGGGCTTTTTTTTCTTCACAAGCATTTCTCTGCACGTTTATTTAAATTCCTCTTAGAATTTAGATTATAAATAACATGTCAAGGTTTTATAAAAATATATAATTTTAATAAACTCGACTAGGGGTAAGAGTCCTTTGGGGACAATGGTAGTATCCACATGATGAGCCCAACACTTCTTTGTGAACAACCAAAGAGGATGGATGAGGTACCTAGGAATAACACCTTCACCTTCTAAAGAGGAGGAGGTATTGTTGACTTGTCCAGAAAAACAGATCAAGAGTCTTCCTTTTCCTGAAACCTATGGAGAAAAAAAGGAGTTGTTATATTCAAGCAAAGGAAGAGCTTCTAGCAGTGTAAATAAACTACTCAGCAATATAACCAAGGAAGGACTTATATTTATGATTGTGAAGAGCTAGTTCTCCTAAAAATCCTTCCAATTCCAACATCAAAATAACTAAAAATGCTGGGATTAACAGTAACATGTCTAATTATCACAAGTACACAAACCAATAATTTTAGCCAATAATTTTTTTAAAGACTAAACTGAATTTAATTTTAAAAAAATCTCAAAATCTCAGAAAGTAGAGGAACAGAATAGTGATCTCAAAGCCATTGTCTCCCCTAAAATAAAAATAAAAACCTGCCAGGCGCTGGTGGCTCACACCTGTAATCCTGGCTACTCAAGAGGCTGAGATCTGAGGATCGAGGTTCAAACCAGCCCAGGCAGGAAAGACCATGAGACTCCTATCTCCAATAAACCACCAGAAAACCGGAAGTGGCACTGTAGCTCAAGTGGTAGAGCACTGGCCTTGAGCTGAAGAGCTGAGGGACAGCGCCCGGGCCCAGAGTTCAAGCCCCATGACAGACAAAATAAATAAATAAAATAAATAAAAACCTTCAGGCAGAATGTGTATCTCAGTGGCAGAAAGTGGGCTTTGCATGTACAGAGCTATCCCTAGCTTTGTATAACAACAACAAAAACAAAAATCTTTTTTCATATATCAAAAATCTGCTCATAAAAAGTTAAAAAAAAAACCAAGTAGAGACTGGAAAATATTCTTGAAAGATTTACCTAACTAAATATTTTTAAAACATTAACGGTATGGTAAGAAAGTAAAGATAGGGCTGGAAATGTGGTTTAGTGGTAGAGTGCTTGCCTAGCATGCATGAAGCCCTGGGTTTGATTCCTCAGTACCACATAAACAGAAAAAGCTGGAAATGGTACTGTGGCTCAAGTGGTAGAGTGCTACACCTTGAGCACAGAGAGGCTCAAGGGCAGTGCCTAGGCCATGAGTTCAAACTTCAGGACCGGGAAGGGGGGGGTGTTAAAGGTAAAGGGGGGTAAAGAAAGTAAACGTAATCTTTACAGTGGTTAAAAATGATGTGAAATGTGAAACCTGGAAATGCTGATATAGGCATTTTGGCAAATGTCTTTTATCCTAGCACCCCAGAAGTAGAGTTAGGAGGATCTGGAGTTTAAGTACAACATAGAGGGAGGAGGATCCAGGGTTTAAATCCAACATAGGTTACATAGACTGCCTCATTAAAAAAAAAAAAAAGTGGCCTGTAATCCTAGCTACTCAGGAGGCTGAGATCTGAGGATCACAGTTCAAAGCCAGCCTGGGCAGGAAAGTCTGTGATACTTTTTTTTCGTGGGGGGGGGGGGTCCAGTCGTGGTCCTGAACTCTGGGCCTGGGCAGGAAAGTCTGTGATACTTTTTTTTCGCGGGGGGGGGGGGGGCCAGTCGTGGTCCTGAACTCTGGGCCTGGGCACTGTCCCTTAGCTCTTCAGCTCAAAGCTAGCACTCTACCACTTGAGCCACAGCGCTACATCCGGCTTTTTTTCTTTTTGCTTACGTGGTGCTGAGGAATTGAACCCAGGGCCTCATGCATGCAAGGCAAGCACTCTACCACTGAGCCACCTTCCCAGCCCTGTGATACTCTTATCTCCAATAAACTACTCAAAAAAAAAAACAGAAGTGGCACTGTGACTCAAGTGTAGAGTGCTGGCCTTGAGCTAAAGAGCTCAGGGACAGTGCCCAGGCCCTGAGTTTAAGACCCAGGACTGGCGGGAGAGTTGGGGGGAGAAAAAGTCTCTGATAATCAAAAATCACAGAATGACTCAGCAGAAATAGAAGATAGCATCATCATTATAAAAACTATTATCAGAATTATTAAACTGAAAATATCATGTGCGTATATGTGTGTATGTATGCGCCACTAGTGGGGTTAAGGCCTCACACTATTGTTTAGCTGTTTTGCTCAAGGCTGGCATTCTACCACTTAAGCCACACCTTCACTTCTGGCTTTTTGCCAGTTAACTGAAGATCAGAGTCTCTCAGATTTGTCTTTCCACACTGGTTTCAAATTGCAGTTCTGAGATCTCAGCCTCTTGAGTAGCTAATATTACAGGCATGAGCCACTAGTGCCTGATATGTTTAGTGTATATACTATACTTTTAATAATAAAAGGAAACAAGGTCCTGGTGGTGGAGAAGACTGAGATCTGGCCTTAAACTACAATTCTTTCAATCTCAGCTTTCTAAATAACTAGGATAACAAGCATAAGCCTCTACTTCTGGCAAGGCAATATTAAATGAGATAACATCTGATAATTTTCCCAAGGTGATGAAAAATAAATCGATCTCAGCTTCAGAAAGTTTAATAAATCCCAAACAAGATCAGTATAAGAGAGCTCAAGGTATAGCTGAGTAGTAGAGTGCTTGCCTAACATGCTTGAGGCCCATGGGACCACACTGAAGGTGGTGATGCCTATAATCGCAGCTACTTAGGATGCAAAAAAGAGGATTGATGATCCAAGCCAGCCTGGGTGAAACATTATGGAGACCCCATTTCAATAAAAAAGCTGGGTGTGGTGAGAAACATCTGTAATCACAATTACCAACAGGATTCCTATATGAGGTCCATCCTAGGCAAAAACTCAAGAGGCTATCTTAAAAACAACTAAATCTGCTGGGGAACCAGTGGTTCACGTCTGTAATCTAAGCTACTCAGAAAGTTGAGATCTGAGGATCCTCATCCTGCGGAAAGTCCCTAAGATTATTTCCAATAAACTACTAAAAAAGCCAGAAATGGAGCTCTATCTCCACTGGTAGGATTCTAGCTAGCCTTGAGCAAAAGAAGCTCAGGGACAGCACCAAGACCCCAGGACCAACACACACTAAATCAAAAAAGGGCTGAGAATGTGGCTCAACTGGTAGAGTGACACCAATATAATAAACAAAAAAGTCTGCCACTTTATTTTTTATTTTTTTGTTGGTCGTGGGGCTTGAACTCTGGGCCTGGGTGCTGTCCCTGTGCTCTTCAGCTTAAGGCCAGCACTCTACCTCTTGAGCCACAGCACCACTTCTGGTTTTCTAGTGGTTTATTGGAGATTAGAGTCTCACAGACTTTTCTGCCCAGGCTGGATTTGAACCATGATCCTCAGATCTCAGCCTCCTGAGTAGCTAGGATTACAGGCGTGAGCCACCAGCTTGCCACTTTATTTTTTAAGTTAGCAAACACACAGAAGGGACAAGTGGAAGGGAAAGGATACCAACTTGCATTTGGTACAGGTGTAGAAGACAGTTTGTCCTTCATCAGCTGAGCGCATCTGTCTGGTGTGGTAGGCCATTCCTTCATTACCACATCGTGGGCAGCGCCTATCAACCTAGGAAAAACCAGGTGGATTAGGAAGGTCTAGTCATAGCTCCCTACTTTTTTTTCCTTCTGGTCCTGGGGCTTGAATTCAGGGCCTGGGTGCTGTCCCTGAGCTTCTTCATGCTCAAGGCTAGCTCCACCATTTGAGCCATTGTGCTATGTCTGGCCTTTTTAGTAGTTTATTGGAGATAAGAGTCTCAGAGACTTTTCTGCCTGGACTGGCTTTGAACCAGGATCCTTAGATCTCAGCCTCCTGAGTAGCTAGGATTACAGGCATGAGCCACCTCCACTCAGCCAGCTCTACACATTAAAAAAAAAAAAAAAGAATCAGACTATCACTACTCAGGAGACTGAGATCTGAGAATCACGGTTCAAAGCCAGCCTGGGCCGGAAAGTCTGTGAGACTCTTCTCCAATTAACCACCGGGAGCGGCGCTGTAGCTCAAGTAATAGAGCACTAGTCTTGAGCTGAAGAGCTAGGGGCAGCGCCCAGAGTTGAAGCCCCACAACCGGCCCTCCTGACCCCCAAAAAATCAGGTTATCACATCCCTTTGAAGACTCCCCCTTTTCCCTCGTGGAATCTCTGTTTCGTTTTTTGTTTTTTTTTGGGTCCGGTCGTGGGGCCTGAACTCTGGGCTTGGGCTCTGTCCCTCAGCTCTTCAGCTCAAGGCTAGCGCTCTACCACTTGAACCACAGCGCCACTTCCGGCTTTTTTCTTTTTTTGCTTATGTGGTGCTGAGGAATCGAACCCAGAGCCTCATGCATGCAAGGCAAGTGCTCTACCACTGAGCCACCTTCCCAGCCCCACCTCGTGGAATCTCTGTAATCACCACCGCCGCTGCCGCCGCCACCACCACTACCACCACCATCACCACCCCACGTCATTTTATCTCCACCTTCTTTATGGAGTCTCACGGACTTTCCTGCCTGGGCTGGCTTTGAACCGTGATCCTCAGTTCTCAGTCTCCTGAGTAGCTAGGATTACAGGCGTGAGCCATGGGCACCCTCCCGGCTCTGGAGTCAGTTCTTGATCTCATTAACTTACTACTGGTCCCTGCGACTCAGGTCCTTCCTCCATAGACATAGGCTTGACATTCCCGAGGTTATGGAAAACAACTGAGGTCTTCACCACCTTCCCTTCGAAGTCTGCCTGGGCAGTAAAAACATAGTGATGGAAGTGGCGCTCAAGTGGTACAGCGCTTGCCTTGAGCTGAAGAGCACAGGGACAGCGCCCAGGCCCAGAGTTCAAGCCCCACGACCGACCTCCCCCACCAAAAAGTTATTAAAAACATATTGAAAACAACGGTGGCAACTAATAGCCGCAAAGCCCTCCCCCCTCGCACCCTACCCTTCAGTTTTTGCTTGCTTTTTTCTTTAAACCAAATATACCAGTGTTGGGTTTCTGCGCTAGGGCCTCCCCTCCCAACCCACCCGATTTTAGAGTTCTCCACGCCCCCCACCCCAGCCCTTCCATCCCAAGCCTTCCACTGAGGGACCCCGCCGTGACCTCTCACCCCGCACGTTGACGGAGAAGCCACAGCGTGTACAGATGACCGCATCCTGAGTCCCAGGCAAGGGCAGGACCGAGCCGCACTCTGGACAGAAATCCAAGTCTGACTGGAAGCTGGAGCAAGTGCTGGCCAAATTCATGGCCGCCATGCGGTCAGGGGCTGGAAGAGAACACCAAGTTTATAGGGGTGTGGGGGGGGGGATGGAAGGGAGGGGAACCTCCCGACTCCAGGAACATTCCTACTCGGTCGTAGGAGTTAGGCTTAGATAACCCAAGGACCCCCTCCTCACCTACAGCTCCCGCCTCTGGGACCCAAGAGCCGGAAACTTGCCCAACCAAAGGCCGGCCGGTGGCCAGCTGGAGAAGCGACGACCGACTCGGTGGGCTAGAGCGTCCGCTCGGCGCCGGCGGAGGAGCAGCGAGCGCTCCTGGCGGGCTAGAGTGTCGACACAGCCCGCGTCGGTGGGCTTGACGTCATAATTAGTGGCGCACTAGCTCCCCTGCGGGAACCGAACCGCTCCGGGGCGGAGGGCGCAACGCCGAGCTCCTCTCGGTACTGTGACGAGGAGGGAGAAAGAGACTAGGATGCACAGGTGGGCTGCTGCAGCAGGCTTTACCAACGAGCTCCCAATCCCGGGATATTTATTCATTTTTCTTTCTCATTCTACAGAGACTTCGTCGCGGGGGGAACATCTCCCCGAAAACTGTACTTAATGTACCGAGTACTGATTGCGTTGGTGAGAAGTCTATAACTTTTGCCGTTCTGGAGACTTTCCTCTCTCCCTTCCCTGTATTGCGGCTATGCAGTGGTTAAAGACAAAAGTCAAACATTTAAAGGGCTGTTATGCCTTGGGTCCTCCTGTCCTGGCCAATACCTCCTTGCAGAAGCCACCCACTTTCTTGTGTTTTGGGGGGTCCGTTCTGGGTACTTGAGATAGTTTATTAAGGGGCTGGAGTGGTGAGGGATAAGTGGGACTACTGGCATTCTCAGGTTGTGGAGGTGGTGTAACAGGAATAAATTAGATTGTTTTTCTCCTTTATGTGCCTGCCAGATGGGCGAGACTAGAGTGTTGTAATATTTGGGTCAGTTTGTTTTTCAGTACGGATCATTGGACACCCCCTTCCCTCATACCATGCCTTCCATTCATCCAACTCCAAATCATTGTTGTCATCCATTGGGCCGACAGTTGACATTTCCTAATCTTTTACAAAGCATGGGGATAATGCTATTCTCACTCATCCGAAACTTAAAATATAAGTAGAAATTTGTCCTGAAGGAACAGTATCTAGATAAGTTTCCTAGTTCCTTCTGGCCTTCCTACAACCACCCACCGAACTTGAGAGCTGCACCAAGCTCCTTTACATGCAACTTCTGGATTTATCATCACTGTTTTCTACTCAGAAAGGTACAAGCTTTGTTCTTTCCATCTTCTTTTCTCTGCTATAAACCTGAGACATGATAAAGGATTAAGACTCTCAGGTATCTTTTTGTCTTATAAAGGGAGATCAGTTGCTGAGATAGCAGAAAGTTTTTAATTTTTTTTGGTCATGGGGCTTGAACTCTGGGCTTGGGCGCTGCCCTTGCGCGCTCTCCAGCTTAAGGCAAGCGCTCTACCGCTTGAGCCACGGCGCCACTTCCAGGAAGCTTTTATTTTTATTCCTCTGTCTAGCTCCTTTCAGAGTAGAATTTGAAATTAGCTCCCCTCCACCCTTCTTTTTGGCAGTGCTAGGTAGCAAACATAGGATCTAATGCATGCTAAACAAGCACTTTACAATCAAGCCACATCCCTATGTCCCTATACCATTACCACTTTACCTTTATAGTTTGACAAACATATAGTTTGACAAACATTTAGTAAATATCCATCATCAATTGAATATTATCCTAATACAATAAAAGAACACAAACATTATAAGGCATGGCCTTTTCTCATTAGAAGCTTACTCTTCAATAAATACCAAGCATTTGTGCCAGGCTTTGAGCTGAGGCTGGGCGTGCACAGTTGAAATCTGACTCAAAGTGCCCAAATGAATAATTGGAACACAAAGTGTGTTGAGTATAAAATGATAGCACTTGAGCCAAGCCTGTAAAAAAGGAAAAAAAAATCCTATGAACTTTAGGGAAGATTGGCAAATGCTTGAACAAAAAGACACAATGTTATTGACTATAAGAAAGATGCTTAAATATGTGATAAGGATACTCAAGTAATTGTGAGAAGTTAAGATCACAGACTAATACTAAACACCAGATACTATACATAAAGAAATTAAAGTAAGGGCTGGGAAGGTGGCACAGTGGTTGAGTGCTTGCCTAGCATGCATGAAACCCTAGGTTCAATTCCTTAGTACCAAATACACAGAAAAACCCAGAAGTGTCACTGTGGCTCAAGTGGTAGAGTGCTAGCTTTGAGTCAAAGAAGCTCAGGGACAGTGCCCAGACCCTGAGTTCAAGCTCCAGGACTGGCAAAAAAAGGGGGGGCGGTCACATACAAATAAGAATGTGCGGGGCTGGGAAGGTGGCTCAGTGGTAGAGTGCTTGCCTTGCATGCCAGAGGCCCTGGGTTCGATTCTTCAGCACCACATAAGCAAAAAGAAAAAAGCTGGAAGTGGCACTGTGGCTCAAGTGGTAGAGCGCTATCCTTGAGCTGAAGAGCTGAGGGACAGCGCCCAGGCCCAAAATTCAGGCCTCATGACCGGACCCAAAAAAAAAAAAAAAACCAAATAAGAATGTGCCTAAGAAGTCCATGTGACTAAATATTAGATAGCAGACAGACAGCTCCTATTTGCTGAGAACGTACCATATGTCAAACATGGTGCCACTCTCTTGTTCTAGTTCTTTATTCTATAGATGAGGAAAGGGATGCAGAGGTGACGTTTCCTGAGTGACACACTAAGTATGGAATTAGGATTCACATGTAGCCTTGTCAGTCTCCAAACCTTTGCTTTTAACTGTAAGTGGCACATAAGTCACAAAGGGAGTTGCCAGGAATTCTTAGTGATTTAAATATGACCTCATAAACCTGTAAAAAGTTCATAGTCTAGACCATCAGCCTATGCTATAAATAAACCTGGAAGAACTCAAGTTTTCAACAGAGAATTGTCTCAAAATGGACTTAGAGTTAAGGATGGATGACAGCCTCAAGCATCCAGACAGAGGGATGGGCAAGCAAATATGAGCAAATTTTTCAAAATATTAAGGAACAGAGATGCTGTATGTATTGATAGAGGCACAGAAGGCGCGTCTTGAGAAACTGCAGAACAGACTGATAAAACAAAGGTCTAAAATTATCTCAGAAGACAAGAAAGACTTGGAGACTGAGCAACCATGCAGAAAAGAAGTTGGACTTACCAAGGAGCCTTTTTGTTTCCCTTGCCAATCACAAATACAAGATTTGGAATGGTTCACACTGAGTCCACAGGAGAAGTATGGTTTGAGTCCATATGGAAGATTCCCTGCTTACTAAAAGAGCATTCCTCACTGGGTGCTCGTGGCTCATGCTTGTAATCCTAGCTGCTCAGAAGGCTGAGATCTGAGGATCGTGGTTTGAAGCCAGCCCGGGCAAGAATGTCCATGGGACATTAACCATAAAAAGCCAGAATGGAGCTCAAGTGGTAGAGCACTAGCCTTGAGCACAAAAACTCAGGGACAGTGCCTAGGCCATGAATTCAAGCCTTAGGATCAGCATGGAAGTGGAATGGTTTCCGTTGGGGAAGTGGCCCTTGTTCTTGGCCAAAGCAATTTAGTTCTTTGACTCAGACAGTAATGAGTGGATGTGCTGGCATATCCCACATTCTAATTTATGTTGGCTTTTTTTATCTTCTAGATTGGCCTGGGCACATGTGTCTAAAGATCCTAGGATTGCTGCAGGTCAACAGTCCCCACTGGAGAAACAGATCTTGGTAAATTAGTTATCTTCATATCATATAGTATGGGCTCTCTACTCAGAGCCCAAGTGACACCTTCACTTTTTTTTTTTTGGTCCGGTCGTGGGCCTGAACTCTGGGCCTGGGCACTGTCCCTCGGCTCTTAAGCTCAAGGCTAGCGCTCTACCACTTGAGCCACAGTGCCACTTCCGGCTTTTTTCTTTTTGCTTATGTGGTGCTGGGGAATTGAACCCAGGGCCTCTGGCATGCAAGGCAAGCGCTCTACCACTGAGCCACCTTCCCAGCCCCACCTTTGCTTTTATATACTGCTAAATGTTTCCAAGCTATTTCCATGGTTAACAACAACGTATTATTTTGAAAATTCCCAAATATATGTATATATGTATATTTATATACATATACACACACACCTTTTGGTTGTGGCCATTCACATTTTCAGAGCTCCCAGGTTTGCCTGAGAGTAAAAGGAATAAAATTTAAATGATTACACAAAAGTAAATGCAAAGAGCATTTATCTTTTCTTGGTGTTAATAGAGAGAGTAGAGCTGGATGCTGGTGGCGTATGCCTGTAATCCTAGCTACTCAGGAGGCTGAGATCTGAGGATCGGGGTTCAAAGCCAGCTGGGGCAGGAATGTCTATGAGACTCTAATCTCCAATTCACCACCAGAAAATCAGAAGTGGTGCTGTGGCTCACTTGCCTTGAGCTGAAGTGCTCAGGGACAGTGCAGGTCCTGAGCTCAAGTCCCACAAGCAACAACAACAACAAAAAAAAAATAGGGAGAGTAGGTTCTTGTTTAAATGTGTTCAAGGAAGTAGATTACTGCCTCATGAAATTCTGAACCTCACTTTAACAGAATCTAGGTGGTGTGCATACAACAGCAGCAAGACAGTTGATAACTCAAAAATGCCAAGAGGAGCATGAAACACTTTGTAAGGAGCAAGCTGTTTCTCTTGACTACTGGCTTGCCAGAGCAGAATCTTACTATAATGAAAGAATGTTGGAAATGATGACAGCAGAGAAGGGCACGGAATTAAAGACAGAAGTGAAGAATAGAGGAACAAAAGAAAGAATAGAGGAACCAAAACAATACTGCTGGTTACCCAAGAGAGACAGGAAACAGATAGAAAGGCACATACATGGAACAGAACAGGCTAAAGAATTTAAGAACAAAATTTGTAGACAACCACAACCCCCCAGTGAAACAACATTACCCAAAATTGTGCCAGAAAAGCCTTGCGTCCCAAAATCGCAAAGAAGAAAACAAGTAAATGAGAGAGAACAGAGACAAATTAAAGATCATCAGGAGCGAATGACCCGAGGGAGAGAGATTATAGAGGAAAAACTCAAGGACCGAATCTTGAGAAAAAGTCAAGAACAGCTACCTACACCTGAGAAGTGCAAGAGAGTAAAGAAAGACATTAAAGAGTTTGAAAGAGTCATTGTATATCCACTTTACCAGCCGTCCAATAGAAGTTTGATTAAAGTGAATATTCTTATGGAAAAGTCTGAGAATAGAGAGGAAGTGAATATAGATTTAAAATCATGTGAAAGAAAATTCTTAGCTGTGCCACCCTTTATGAGAAGTCAAATAAGACAAATAAAAAATTAGTTAAGTTTCAGTGTTTTTGTGATGAAATCATATCTCTTAAATGAATTTATGTATTTATTTTACCACTTGTCACTTTTAAGGGTTCAGTGAACATTACCATTTGTATCACATGAGAAGTATAAGATAGTTCTGAATTTGAAAACTTGATCAGTAGATTTTGGTTGCTTTGTGTTCCAGTTGCTTATACATTTTGTGTTTGTTCCACTTAACTTTTTGTTTTGTTTTGTTATTTGTCATGGGGCTTGAACTCAGGGCTTGGGCACTGTCCCTGAGCATTTTTGCTCAAGGCTAGCATTCTGCCACAGCTCCACTTCTAGTTTGAGGTGGTTAATTGGAGATGTGTCTCAGGGACTTTCCCGCCCAGGCTGACTTTGAACCATAATCATCAGATCTCAGCCTCTGAATAGATAGGATCACAGGCATAAGTCTTGCTTACCTTTTTTGATGTTCATTTTTCTCATTTGTAAAGTGAGAATAATATCTCAGAGTTTATGAGTAAGCATGCATATGTGAATGGTGCCTCATGGTAACAAAACAGGAGATGGGCACATTTTATCTGGGACTTAGAATATCCCAGTGAGAGAAGAAAAGTCAAATACTACTACTTCTCTACTGTGCTCTTCTCCCTCCTCATAATAGTGATAGCTACAGTTCTGATGACTACAGTTCCAAGGAGAACAAGAGCAGCAGTAATTCCTGGGAAGGGAAGGAAAGATGAGGGACCCTGACCCTGCTGAGGATCTCTAGATGATGCCTATATTTCCTGACCACATACAAGCTTTGTGCCCAAACCCCTAACTTTCCCCATCTCAGGCTGAGGGGCTCAGGCAGCCCCTCATGTTGAACATGGCATGTATATCTGCTTTTCCCAAGAAGGTGGTACCACAGCTGCTCTCTGTAGGCCTGGTCTCCACAAACTTCATGCCCTGGGGCCTGGTCCTCTCCATCCCATTGCCAAGTCAGGGTGATCTCAGGGTAGAAATCCAGGACTCAATAACTCAGGGTGCCTTCTCCCCTTCAGGACTTGAGTGGAAGGTCACATGTGTCTGAGGGAGTTCTGAGAAGAGTCAGAAAATTCATAACCTCCTGTTACTTCCTATGGGCCACTTGAGAATAGATCATCTGACCATGCTGAGAATAAACAAAATAATTGCATTTCAGATTAAGAGTGTAGAACTTTCTTAATGAGAAGGGAAATTGTATGGCATTGTTATATGAGCTGTGATAAGTATATAATAAAATAAGATGATAATAGAGTCTGATATACAAAAATACATTTTTGCACTGGGTGCCAGTGGCTCATGCCTATAATCCTGGTTACTCAGGAGGCTGAGATCTGAGGATTGGGGTTTAAAGCCAGCTCAGCCAAGAAAGTCAGTAAGACTCTGATCTCAGGTTAATTACAGAAAAAGCTGGAAGTAGTGTGATGGCTCAATTGGTAGAGTGCCTTGAGCAAAGCCTTGAGCAAAATGAGCTCAGGGACAGTACCTAGGCCCCGGAGTTCAAGCCCCAGGACTGGCAAAAAAGTTATTTTTATTTATTATTTATTGCCAATTGTGGGACTTGTAGCATTTTTGCCGGTCATGGGGCTTGAACTCTGAGCCTAGGTGCTGCCCCTGAGCTCTTCATGAGCATGCTACCACTTGAGCCACAGTGCCCCTTCTGGTTTTCTGGTGGTTAATTGGAGATGAGTCTCATGGGCTTTACTCCCTGGGCTGGCTTTGAACCTTGATACTCAGATCTCAGCCTCTTGAGAAGCTAGGATTACAGGTGTGAGCCACTCCTGCCCTGCTAAAAAGGTAACTTGTAAATTAAAAAAAAAAATAGCCCTCAGGGATTGGAGATGTAGCTCAGTAGTAGAGCACTTGCACTTGCTTAGCGTGTATAGTGCTGTGGATTCAATCCCCAGCTACACATACCACAAATAGAATCTTCAGAAAAGAAATGGGTGGAAATAATTTTTTTTCAGTTTTCCAGAGTTATCAATAGGCTGGAGAAAGGGGTTGTTGGGAGAATAGATGGAATCTTCAAACTGAGAAGTACTCTTGGGACCTCTCCTGTCTTCTGCTTTTTGTGCAGTCCAGGGTACTCAGAAGCATCTTCATCTCTGCATGGGTTCCTAGTCTCCATGTTGGTCATCTCTACCCAGTTCAGATCACACAAAGCAGCTCAGTCCCCTCCCTGGATGCCGGGCCAATCCGAGAGGGCAGAGCAGCAGTGCCCTCCTGTGGCCACAGGGTTGAGGACAGGTGAAATTCTCTTTCACCTCAAATCTTTGCCTTTGCAAGGTCATGCCTGGCTTTCAGCAACTGGCTTAGACCACGTACCCAAAGTCCTGTTAGTTTGCAGTCTTGTTTACCAAATCCACATGGCATAATTTTCCTCTCCATTGAGGGATGGTGGACTCTGCCTCAAGGTAGAAAGAGATAGAAGTGGCGCTGTAGCTCAAGTGGTAGGCACTAGCCTTGACCTGAAGAGCTGAGGGACAGCGCCCAAGCCCAGAGTTCAAGACTCATGACCAACAACAACAACAACAACAAAAATTCTTTCCATTTTCAAGTTGCTAGAAGAACCTGAGAAGATTAGAGGGGCAGCAATCAGCTGTGAAGTTGCAGCACTAGTAGGTGTTGCCTGCTGCAAGGCTGTGTGTTGTAGAACTCAGAGGACTATTAGACAAATCAGTTCTAACCTGTACAACATGGGCACACATACACATACCTGCATCAATATCAGCAGGAAAACAAAAAAACCATAGTATGAAAAAGCAAAGAGTTGGAAGTGGCACTGTAGCTCAAGTGGTAGAGCGCTCGCCTTGAGCTGAAGAGCTGAGGGACAGTGCTCAGGCCCAGAGTTCAAGCCCCATGACTGACAAAAAAAGAAGAAGAAAAAGCAAAGAGGGGGCTGGGAAGGTGGCTCAGTGATAGAGCGCTTGCCTTGCATGCATGAGGCCCTGGGTTCGATTCCTCAGCACCACATAAGCAAAAAGAAAAAAAAAGGAAGCTGTGGCTCAAGTGGTAGAGTGCTCGCCTTGAGCTGAAGAGCTGAGGGACAGCACCCAGGCCCAGAGTTCAGGCCCCACAACAGGACCCCCTCTCCCCCCCCCAAAAAAAAAGAAAAGTGAAAAGAGGCAATTCTCTGAAAGAGATATACATAGTACAAATCATCAAGATCAGAGACTCAGGCAACTTGCTTCTTGTTATCCCAGAGCAGGTTTTCCCACAATAAAGAACTGTAATACCCTCAACCTGACTCACACCAGTTGGGGACAAGTGTGAGTATAGCACTGAGCACTGAGAGTTGTCTGAGATGGCATAGGGGTTAGTCAACACACATCTCACCAAATCCTAGCCCAGTCTCCACAGAGAGTTGGTTGGGTGACTCCAGGCTTTTGTGCAGAATGTGCATATTGAGTCTGCATCCAACACTGATGTAGAAGCTTACTGTGTCTTCCTCTAGTTTTCCCATGGGGTCTGAGACTTTGTTGATTTATCTTCAGTATTCATTTCTGTGTGTGTGTGTGTGTGTGTGTGTGTATGTGTGTACTGGGGTTTGAACTTAGGGCCTGGTTACTGTCCTTTTTTTGCTTAAGGCTAGTACTCTGCCACTCCATACACAACTCTACTTCTGGCTTTTTGGTGGTTAATTGGATCTAATGAGTCTCACAGATTTTCTTTCTAGGGCTGGCTTTCAATTTGATCCTTCTGAGTAGCTAAGGATTTATAAGTGTGAGTCACTGGTGCTCAGCTCATCATTGAGATTTTATCTTGCTCCAGTCAGGGTGGTGATCATTAAGGAAAACAAATAACAAATGGTGAGAATAGGAGGTTGACAGGGGACCCTGATACACAGGACCCGTATACTCTGTTGGTAGGAATATAATTACTGCATCCCCACCTCACCCAAATAAAAGAGTGCCAGGCTAGGATAGGCGGTGCTATCGGTAAAGTACGGTGTAGAGCCTAGCTGTCTGGTTTTGTAAATAAAGTGATTTAGAATCAAGGTAAGATTTGGGTGAGGCAAGGTCAGGCAGGTCAGCTGGGTGCTGGTGGCTCACACTTGTATGTAATCCTAGCACTCAGAAGGCTGAAATCTAACGATCAAAGTTTGAAGCCAGCTTGGGCAGGAAAGTCCTTGAGATGCTCATCTCCAACTAAACACCAGAAAACTAGAAGTGAGCTGTGGTTCAAGGTGGTAGAGTGCTAGTTTTGAGCACAAAAGCTCAGGGACTAGTGTCCCAGGCCCTGAGTTCAAGTTTTACAACTGAAAAAAAAAATAAAGTCAAATCCCATCTTTACTGAAAGACTGGTTTAGTTTCTTCATATATAATGGAACAAATGCCCTCATCTATAACCATGTTTCATGGGGATATGAAGATAATGGAAATCGCATCACTTTTCAACCAATGTCTGTGCCTCCTACCACCTTTCCCACCAAGTTTATTTACTGTAGAGGCTTTGGTTTCAAGTTCTGGTGCTGTGAGATCTGATGTCTGGCCAACGCTCAACAGCTTGAGACCTGTTTCCTCACTTGAAAAAAATCCTGAGGCTTGAACTCAGGGCCTGGAAATTGTCCCTGAGCAAAACTTTGCTCAAGGTTGGTGCTCTACCATTTGTGTCAGAGATCCACTTCTGGCTTGTTTGGTGGTTATTGGAGATGATAATAGTCTCATCGTCTTTCCTGAACTGGCTGGCTTTGAACCTCCATCCCCAGATCTCAGCCTCCTGAGCAGGATTACAGGTGCGAGCCATTGATGCCCAGTTTACAAAAGTGTTTTGGTTTGCAAAGTCAACCATATTAAGTGCTAGTTAAGTGAAAAGAAAATTTAAGTGTGATTTTAGTTGAGCTTATCAAGAGTGGGGGAAATCACTGCGAGGGTTGAGTTGGATTCTATAACTTGGCGAAACTTGACGCTGGTGAGGTACTCGCTGTTTCCCTGCCTCTTCTATCTCTGTTTTCTCCCCCTTGACTTGACTTTTCTAAGATGATATGTGCCTCTTAACCCCTCTGTAAAGTACTCTTTCGGGCTCACCAGCCGAGTCCCAAAAGCTTTAGTGACTCTGTTTTCTAAGCAAGTGTCACTTTTTACAAGAGTAAATTAGGTCTGGGAATATGGGGGCATCTTAGCGCAAGGGGAGGACCAGTGTTACATCAACTGGCAGGGGTGGAGAGATGGAGGGGCGTGGCAGTGCCCTCTAAGCGTTCGGCTTCTTAGGGTGCCCACTCTGGACCTAGTGGGGACCACCGCCCGAAGTGGGTCAGTTGGCGGGGTGGGTGGGAGGGTGGGAGGGAGCGGAAGCAGGCGGAGCTGGGGCGGTTCGCGCGCTCCGGGTTGAGCTGGGCGGAAGCTGCGGTCCCCAGGCCGAGCCCTGGGAGTCTGCGTACTCGGCGCCCAGAGGGTGAGTAACCCCGGCAGGAGTCGCGCCGACCTTCTAATGGCTGGTGCGGGGTTGGTACCCCTGGCACCGCTCGGCCGTGGAGGGGAGACTGCGCCTTACCCCCGGGCAGCCTCCAGCCCTGAGGCTCCCTGGAGGAAGCCTGAGTTCAGCCCGGGAAGAAAGGGCTCCGAGCACGTGTCGGGAGTCGGGGTCCCAGAAAGGAAGTCTCGGGACAGATGGGCACCGGGCGATTATGATTATGTGGTGTGTGTGTGCCGGCAGTGAGGCTTTGGCTCGCCTTTTTCTCTAAGGGGCTGGCGCGCTACCACTGGGGCTGCACCCCCACTTCCGGCCTTTTGCCGATGGTTAATAGGAGGCTAGAGCCTCTGGGACTTTCCTTCCCGGGCTGGCTTCGAATCCCGACGAGGGTAGCTAGGCATGAGCCACCGGCGCCCAGCTGAATGGGAGTGTTTTGGAGTACGTTGGCGGGCGCGGGGAGCGTTAACGCGCGCCTGCTGTGCGGGCCCTGGCGACCCAAATAGCCCTTTGCGCCTGCCCGGAGGAAGCCGCGACCTGCGGGCAAGGCGGGGACCCTGAAGGTTCGAGCGGAGAGCTCACGCGCACAGCCTCCCCGGCTGCTCGGGAGGACGAGTCTAGGAGAGCCTTTTTGCGTATCCGAGGGGCGAAGAACTCAGGTGGCTGCGTGGACAAAGCTCTCAAAGGCTTGTGTATGTATGTTGGAATTTCTGTCCTCCGATTTTTTTGTGGGAAAGAAACCAGGAGAAGAAAGGGAACGGGACTAAGAGGATTGAAAGATGGCGACACATTCCCTCGGCAGGTTTGCATTGTGAGAGGGTGGGGGCCAGGCCCGGGCAGATAAAAGCCCACTGTGAATATCCAGACTTCCACTTCAGAGCCCGGTTCAGCCCTGGGGTCTGAACAAGCAAATACCATCAAAGGTAATGGAGAGTCGGAGATGGCTGCCGCCGTCAGAGCTCCCACAGAAGTTAGAATCAGCACCAAGGATCCTTTCCTGACACTCATTCTCAGTAAGAGCCACGCAGGATGCAGTGGCTATCGCGGGTCTCCTCTGCTGTAGAAGCGGAAGACCAGGGTCTTACGGACACTAATTGAAGCTGGAAAGTGGGAGAATAATCCTAGATCTATTCTTTCATGGTCGTAAATAGGGAGGGAAGGAGAAGAGAAAACCAATTTCCTGTTTTAGGGAGGCAAAATGAATTGGGAATCCAATTTACTGTTCATCAGATACCTTTTTCATCAGATACCGTTACTCTTCTCGAAGAAGTGGGCAAGTTTTTATGTTTTTCTTTGCACCTGGAATTGGCTATCAGCAGGAAGAGGCAGGCTTCAGCCATGTTTGTGTGGGAGCAGAAACTTTTTTCAAGGTGAACAGGAAATTACAGTGAATCTGAATCACTAGGAGTTTTGAATAAGTTGAGTTCTGTTGGATTGTATTCTTTACAAGGACTAGATGTGCAGAAGATCCCTGGTTTATGATGGTTCAATTTATGATACTTCAAACTTTACAGTGGTAGAAAACCTTATGCATTCAGTTGAAATACTTTGAATTTTGATTTTGCTCCCAGTTTAGCAATGTGTAGTAAATAGAATATTCTTGATATTTGCCTGCTGTGTCAAGGCTACCAGCTGCAGCTTCTGAGTCAACCATGGGATTGGGAGGGGAAAGCTATCATATTCTTAATCAGATGCATTGTGATGGACTTCTTCCTTTGTGATGTTTTAAGTTATGGTGAGCTCATGAGGATGTTGTCCCATTGTAAATTTAGGAGTATTGAGTATTTAAAAATCCAGTTACTGGTAGCTCACATCTGTATTCCTAGCTACTCCGGAAGCTGAGATCCAAAGATCACACTTTGAAGCCAGGCAAGAAAGTCTGTGAGACTCTTTATCTCCAATTAACTACTAAAAGCTGAAAGTAGAACTGTGGCTTAAGTAATAGAGCACTAGCTAATCTTGAGGAAGAAAAAAAAAAGCTCAGGGACAGCACCCAGGCCCTAAATTCAATTTCCAAGATTAGTGTGCACATGTACACACACACATACACACACACAGTATCCAGGTCACAGGTATATACATGTACACACACACACACACACACACAGTATCCAGGTCACAGGTATATACTAGAGTCAGGCCCTGGGCTTGATCTGTGCAAGTACTGTGTGTATTCATCCTGAGAGGAATCTTAGAGAATGTGTTTATTCTTAACATTTTCCATGAAAGCATATCGAGGATGAGATTTGCTCAAGGTGGCTTGTGGAGATGCAGGCCAGATTCCCTAACTGCTTTTCAATGGTTCTGGATCTAAGGTGCGATCAATACTTCTCGTGTAGATCCAGAGTATCCTTGACTTTAAATGGCCTCAGAAGTTGTTACTCAGGGTAACTGATTTACAAGGTAACTTTCTCCTTGCTGATGTGTTGTCTCTCCCTGACCTCAGTTTCCTAGAGGTGGGCCACCAGCCAGTAGCTAGAAGCAGGCTGGGACAGGCAGACACCTAGCCCCAGCCTAGCATTACTGGACAGTAGTAGCTTAGCCCAGGAGAACCAGGTTCCTGAGCTTTACAGTTCAGACTTTGAGGGAACTAAAGATATTCTTACTTGTGAAAGCAAATTTGGACAGTAAAACAAACAAGGAAGAATTTCCCTTGAAGCGGACATACTTGTCACAGGAACCTATATTAATCCCCAGGTCCTAGCAGAACCTCTCCATCTGCCTGCTTATCATTAAATAGACATTCCTGGGAGCCAAACCAGAAGTGAATAAAGCCAGAGACACGATAGGAAAAAAGGTGCTGCTCCCTTGGTTTGGCAGGGTGTCAGCAGCCCTGCTGGAAGCCAAGAAGAAAGACTGCTGGTGGAAGATGTAGATAAAGGAAAGGAGAATAAGAAAGAGGAGCACTGGATCCTAGACTCCTGAAACTCTCATCTGTTCCCTGGCTGTTCCCTGACTCCCTGGGGTCTCAGAATGTTTCAAGCCTAGCAACAGAAAAAGGAGCACTAAGACTTTCTTCCCTACTATTTTCATTGACTATTTTCTGAAATTTTTGTTAGAGTAGCAACCATATTTCCCTCCCCCGCTTTTTTCTGTGCTGGTCTTGGGACTTGAACATTGGCCCGGACACTAGCCCTAAGCTTTTTTTGCTCAAGGCTAGCACTCTACCACTTGAGCCACAGTTCCTCTTGCAGCTTTTTCTTTTTCTTTTTAGTTTAATGGAGCTAAGAGTCACAGAGACGGGCACTGGTGGCTCATGCCTGTAATTCTAGCTACTCAGGAGGCTGAGATCCGAGGATCACAGTTCGAAGCCAACCTGGGCAAAAAAGTCAATGTGAGACTCTTACCTTCAATTAACCACTTAAAAACTGGGAGTAGCACTGTGGCTCAAGTGGTAGAGTACTAGCGTTGATCACAAAGAGCCTCTTTGTGAGGCTCCAGGACAGCGCTCAGGCCCTTGGTTCAAGCCCCACAACTGACCCCTCCACCCCCCTCCCAAAAAAAGCATCTCACAGACTTTCCTGCCCAAGCTGGCTTCAAACTGTGATCCACAGATCTCAGCCACTTGTTGATAGGCTATACTGGCATGAGCTACTGGTGCCCGGCTATTCTTTCCTTTCTATTTATAGTCATTGTTTCACTTTTTTCTGCCACATTTTCTTTCTTTGTCTTCATTCTTCCTTTCCTTTCTATAAGTCACAATTACTGATTTTGTGCCTGTCTCCATGTTTCTCTCTTCATTCCATGGTTTTATATTTCTCTTAGGTTTCAATTTTCTGAACCTTGAAACTACGTTTACAAACTCTCCTAGTCTGTCCTGCTCTTCCAAATGCAAGTGTCCTTGGAGGATGTGGCTGTGAATTTCACCCAGGAAGAGTGGGAATGTTTGGATACAGGTCAGAGGACCCTTTACGTGGATGTTATGACTGAAATCTTGAAGAACCTGGAGTCTGTGGGTAAGAGGCTGTGGTCCTTCAGGCAACCCCATTGAGCTAGGGCTACAGAAAATCTGGTTTTCCTAGGCAGGTAGAGAAGCTTACTGTTAGCCTCTCTGATGTGGTCGCTAAACTTAGATAGTAAAGGAAAAGAAATTAAACCTAGAATGAAACCAAGCTCTGGTGGCACATACCTATAATCCTAGTACTCAGGAGACAGATCTGAGGATGGCAGCTAGATAAGGCAGGAAAAAGTCTGTGAGATTCTTATCTCCAATTAACTACTCAAAAAGCTGAAAGTGGAAGTGTGGCTCAAGTGGTAGAACACTAGCCTTGAGCAAAATAATTCAGGGACAGCCCCCAGACCCTGAGTTCAATTCCAGGACTAAAAAGAAAAGAAGAAAAGAAAGGAAGAAAGCTGACGTGAAAACAAAGATAGTATTTATAACAATGAAAACCTTAAAATATACAAATTTGTGTATTCATACAACTAAGTCACTCTTGTGTGCCAGGCACTTTGCTAGGAGCTAGCCTTTTGAAAGTCATTTCCCTGCATGTAAGTGATCTAGATTAAGATTCTTGTTTTGGTTTTTTTTTTTAAATTTTGGGTCCGGTTGTGGGCTTGAACTCTGAGCCTGGGTGCTGCCCCTCAGCCCTTCAGCTCAAGGCTAGCGCTCTACCACTTGAGCCACATCACCACTTCCGGCTTGTTTTTTGCTTATGGGTGCTGAGGAATCGAACCCAGGGCCTCAAGTATGCAAGGCAAGCGCTTTACCACTGAGCCACCTTCCCAGCCCTAGATTAAGATTCTTAAAATGGGTACACAGGAGATAGCAGATGTGAAAGGGCCAAGTCTGGAACCAATACATCATATTGATAGTAAAATTAAGTTTAAAAAAATTCTTTCAAGAGAAAAGTGAAGCAGTGAGATGATAGGTTGGAAAAGGAGAGACATGTTTCTGGGACAGGAGTAAATGGGTTAGAGAGATGCCAAGACAGGTTAGCAGGGACACCCAAAACTACCAGCACTGATAGCTTTGAACTCTGATAATACTATACTTTTTCATACATGTATAGAACTATGATAAAGCTTGATTTATTCATGAGGCATAGTAAGAGATTAAACCCTAATAAAACAGGAAGTTTTATAAACAGGAAGTTAAATAAATGTAGTATTTCTCAAAGAATTTTTTTTAAGTGGGTGCCAGTGGCTTATGACTGTAATCCTAGCTACTCAGGATGCTGAGATCTGAGGATTGTGATTTGAAGCCAGCCTGGGCAAAAAAAGTCCCCCTGAGACTCTTATCTCCAATAAACCACTCACAAAAGCCAGAAGTGATGCTGTGGCTCAAGTAGTAGAGTGCTAGCCTTGAGCACAAAGAAGCCCAGGGACAGTGCACAGGCTCTGAGTTCAAGTCTCAGGACCTGGAAAAAAATAATTTTTTTGTCATTTAATATTTTTGGACTGTGGTTGACTGCTTAACTCAAACAATGAGAGGTGAACTCATAGGTGGGAGGATTCTTGTATACTGTGGAATGTTTGTGGGAGTGAACAATACTAAAAACGAGAAGATGGATTTCAAAGAATATGGTTTAGATATCTGATATTATTGGAAGATTGTGGTTAAAACTTTATTTGCTTATAATTCTGGCCTATGAGTACTAGGGTAGGGTGAATATGTTGGATTGGAAAGGGGTGGCAGAAAGGGCCAGCAGCTTGCACTAAAAGAAAGCTTGTGTTGTCATAGTGAATCCTGTGTTAATTTCTTCTTTGCACCACAGGATTCAAGGAGGGAAAGGAGAAAGAAGGAGAGGAGGAGGAAGAGGAAGAAGAGGAAGAGGAAGAGGAGCATCAAGAACCAGGTCAGGATCTGAGCAATGAGGGAACTAATGATAAGACAATATCCCTTGCTTCCAAGAAAGAAGGCCATATCCCATTCTCTGCCCTAGATCGGATTAAAGAGAAGAAGACCCGAGTGGGCAAATCCTCCAAAGTTGGACCACCTTTTTTGTGTCACAGCTGTGGCAGCTGTTTCAGCAAGCGCTCCCAATTCTATAGCCATCAGTGTACTCACAGCCACAAGCGGGTTAACAGCTGTAACCAGTGTCGAAAGTTGTTGGGGAACCCCCAGGCCCTCAACCACCATAGACGCCTGCATCATGCAGACAGGCCCTTCAGTTGTTCTCTCTGTGACAAGACCTACCGTGATGCTTCTGGTCTGAGCCGGCACCGCCGTGTTCATATGGGTTACCGGCCCCATTCGTGTCCTGTGTGTGGGAAGCGCTTCCGAGACCGGTCAGAGGTCAAACGCCATCAAAAGATACATCGAAACAAGGAGCCAGTGGCTGGAAACCAGAAGCCTGTTGTAAAGACTCCAGTTTCCACAGCTGGATTCCAGGCGCCTACAGTTAGGAGCCGACGGCGCATCCGGGGGCTTGTGGACGTGAACCAGACTTCTGGCACCAGAACCCGGGCATCCAGTGGTAGAGCCGTCTGCCTAGCTAGCAGATCCAACTCTCCTCCAGCGAAGTGCTCAGGAGGCAAGGTCTTCTCTTGCCCTCATTGTCGCTTGACTTTTAACATGGAAGCCGATCTCTCCAACCATCAGAAGGTCCACTTTCCAGAGCAGAAAACCTACTGCTGTCCTGTCTGTGACCTCTGCTTTGAGGTGAAGGAGGACCTTCTGGATCACTGGAACAGTTCTAAACTCAAGGACCTAGAACCTAGGCCACAAAACCTGGGTAGCCCTCCAAAATGCTGGGTGGTCCTGGGTTACTGGCTGGGCTTCCTTTCCAATCCCCCATGGTCAGGAAGGACTAAAAGCAAGCAGGGAATGGATCTTCTAGGATCTATGGCCCCAGAGGAGGGGAAGCCACGGAGAAAAAAAAAAGTGGGAAAAGGAAGGAAAGCAAAAGATAAGTGACGGTCTTGATATATAAATAAAAGGCCAGCTGGGTGCAGGTGGCTCACGCCTGTAATCCTAGCTACTCAGGAGGCTGAGATCTGAGGATCACGGTTCGAAGCCCGGGCAGAAAATTTCCCGTGAGACTCTTATCTCCAATTAAGCACTCAGTAACCAGAAGTGGAGCTGGCTCAAAGTGGCAGAGCGCTATCCTTGAGCGAAAGAGCTCAGGGACAGTGCTGAGGCCCTGAGTTCAAGCCCTACAACCAACAAAAATAAATTAAAACAATAAGAGGCCTTTCTGACTTAAGTCTACATTTGGTTTGCCTGAGGATTTGCCTCTGGGGTCTGGAGGCGTAGGTTGAGGAACAGAGGATAGAAAAATAATGAAGGAAATACAACACAGAGAAGGGGAAAGAAATGTGCACATAGAAACTTGTATTATTAATAATTAGCACCTAGCTTGTTTCTTTGTGTCTGATAAACCACTAAGTAGTAATAGTTGAATAAAACAGTAGATTCTATGGTAGAGGTGCAGGTGGGAGGAAAGGGATAAGAGAGACAGATATGGAAATAGAACAGAGACATGTATGGCCCACTTCTCATCCCTTGCTGCCAAAGTTCCTCCTCAGGCTGCTGAGACAAGGTAGGGTCTGGACAGTATTCTGTGGAATCCATCTGGGAAGCTATCCCCAGGTTTTAGTTAAGGCTTCACACATTCTCATCTGTAGCTCACTCAACATCTCAGGTAACTTGACTGCTCCTTTGCTCTCTACCCCAGTCACAGCTGGAATCTTGGAAGAAAGAGCCACTATTTGCAAACTTGATGGACTGTCATTTGTAGCAAGGAGGTTCTGGGACTCCAGGTCATGGCACAGAGCCTCTCGTCTGTTGCTTTTTGTTCTTGCACAGGTGTCCTCTGATGGCAAAAGGTGACCCACCATAAAGCGCTTCCTGGTAGAAGAGAGGAGTGGAAAAGTGTGACAAAAACTGGGAGAGGAAGAAATAAAGTGGAGGACAGAAGAAGGGACATCAATTCTATTTGGAATTCAGAATGTTCATGGATGTGCAGATTGGAATGTGCCCACAGCAGAGTCCAGTGAATGGATGACATGTTCCCAAGGACCAGACTCTGGACCAACCAGACTCTTGCACCTCAGCCAAAAATGTGTCAGCACTCAGAAGGGGTTTCCTAGAAGAAGGAACAGATAGCTTGAAGAAAATACTGTCAGTAGTTTACTATGAAACCTCTGAACCTGAGCTCTCTGGGATCATCTCATCTTATGCAGAGAATGGGAAGGAGGCTGGTGAGAGTCCGGGGAAGGAGTGCGGTCAGGCAGCAGGTGGGAGTGGCCTGGCATCCCTCTCAGTCACCTATAAATTTGTCCAACAGTGGCCTCCTCCCATTATCCCTTCATAGAAGGGTCCTCCCTCCACTCACAACCCTCTGCTTAGTCTTCCTTTCCCGACATTTTGTTCTTGGCTGATAAAAATGAGAAATGAACTTACTTAGCTCTTCAAGAAACTGTCCTGCAAAAAAAAAAAAAAAAAGGAAACAAGTAGATAGGGAGATAGATAACCAATGGAAGATGACTACCTCTCTCCCCGCCTCCCCGTGTTCACTCGGACTGACCCCGCCCTCTCCTTCAGTTTTCCCTGAAGGGCAGGAAATGCTCATGGGGACAGGATGAAGGAAATCTTAACTCTGGAATCTTGAGCCCAGTTCCATGGTTTCCCACTCTGGCTTGGCTTGGTTCCCCACTACTGAGTGGTTCCTGTTTGCTGTCCCATCACTGCACCTGCTAGTCTTCGGTGTAGCCAGTTGTAGCAGATGATCAAGGCAACCAGGGGTCCAAGAACTGGCACGATTACAAAGAGTGTTATCTTCCAGCAAGGAACTCTCAGGAAGTGGGGATCTGAATTATTCACCAGAACAAACAGCGGTTAATGTGTTTCCCTTTGCTCCACTCACCCTTCTCCCTACTAGATTTCTTAACCTGAAGTCCCAGGCCAGCTAGGGATGGACTTGAAAAAAGCAGCACATCTTTATTTTCACCAACCTTATGTAGGCTTAGTGTTTTATGTGTGTGTGTGTGTGTGTGTGTGTGGCATGAGTCATGGATTTTATTAAAAAAAAAAAAAAAAACTGGCACCAGTGGCTCATGTCTGTAATCCTAGCTACTCAAGAGGCTTCCATCTGGTTGATTGTGGTTTGAAGCCAGCCTGGGCAGAAAAATCTGAGACCTATTTCCAACTACCACCAAAAAGCTGTAATTGGAGCTGTGGCTTAAATGGTAGAGCACCAGCCTTGGGCAAAAAAGCCCAAGGACAGTGCCCAGGTCCCAAGTTCAAATCCCAGGAATCACACAAAGTAGTATAGAAATATTTACTGTTATTTTACCAATCTTACATGCAAATGATGGCTTACTCAAAGAAAAAAGGAAAGCACCTACCAGGAGCCAGGGAACTTTGTTTCCCCAGATGACTGGAGCCCAAGTGAAATACTTGCACTTACCAAAAGTCCGATGAAGATTCTCTGAAAGGAACAATGGGAAATGAATTTACTGGAGTCCTATCTCTTGGGTCTTTGTTAGCTTTTTTTTTTTCTTTTTTTGGTACTGGGGATCGAACCCAGGACGTTGCACTTGCTAGGCAAGCGCTTTGCCACTGAGCTATATCCCAGCCCTCTTTGTTAGTTTTAAATTGGACTAATTCATGTCCTGACAGGATAGACTGAGCTATAGGATTTGATTTCACCCAAGACTGAAGACAAGGGAAGCATAGCAGATTGTTGACAATTCTTGACTGGTTTTTGTTTGTTTTGCCGCATGCATTAGTTGTATAAGGGGTTGATCATTGTGTCTGTTAGGAAAGATCAAGTGGATGGAAGGCTAAACTCTGATCTGATCTGTTGAGAGCTCTGGCTTCTTCCCTTTTGTCTGCTTGATCTTTCCTAACAGTGACATTTCTTCATATGGATACAGGGCATCTCAATGGACCCTCTATTGCTCGATAGTTTTAAAAAGTGAATTTTCCAACTGAAGGAAGCATGGTATTAGAAGAGACAGAAAAATGACATATCATGCCAAAAGATCAAACGGGGCCCTGGGGGGGGGGAGGGGGCACTCACCTATTTCTGCTCGAAGTTTTCCTAAAATAGAAAAAGTCACTTAAGTTTGAAACCAGGAGGAATTGTCTCTTCCCTGGCTATTACCTGGATCAAGTAATAATGCAAGAGCCATCTTTCACACCCAGCCTCGGTAATCAGCAGTGCTTCAAACCTTCAGGTTTTATTATCTCCCTTACTGTTGCTCTTCCTAGTTCTGTTTATGTTGGCTGCTCCACCCTCCTGGGCTGTCACTGTGAATCTAAAGCTATTCCCAATCTGAATGGCAAGGAAGGAACTAGTGGGCCTCTACTTTGTGGCTGGCTCTTCCCTGAGCGCTTTCCATGTTATTCTCTTTAATTCTCCCTGCAATTTAGGAGGGAGAATGTCATTTCAACTTGACACCCCAGGCAACTGTCTGCTCTTGGAGAACCTGAGTTTTGCTCACAGTTCAGTGTCTAGGATGGAATCCAATCATTTTTCTGCACAGCCATGATGGTGAAGAAGACTTTTTATTCATGTAGTTAAACCAGGCATCTGGGATAAGTTAAGGCAAGAGGAAAGGTTTCCACTGTTGGGCTGGTGTGTATCAATGTAGAACTCTGTTTAGCCTGCCCAAGGCGCTGGGTTCCATTCCCAGTGCCACCAAAAAAAAAAGTCATTGTTGATCCAGCCCCAAACCCTCCTTGGTGCTTTATTTTCTTAGTGAATTAAATGTCAGGTTGGACACTTAGTGAGTTGGCTTTGGGGAGAACAGTGAGTTGGAGGAGGCTCAGAAAGGAAGCTCTGGACACAGCAGCTTCGTCCACAGCTGAACCTCACTGCTCAGTGTTGAATGGAAAAGATGGAGGAAGCAGCTTAAAAACACATTGTGACAGCACTTTCCCCCCCAGAATCTTTATTTAAGACTGCTAATAGCTTAAATCCAGCCTGACTCACACTCTCCCAGGTGCATGAGCTGCTAAGTATGGTACAGAAAGGAGCCTGAGCTCTGCCTCTTACAGCCTCCAGTTCAAGTAAATCACTCCTGGCCTCAGTGGCCTTCTCTGTACAAGGCAGCTGTTCTCTGAAGACTTAACCTCCTGGGGAACTAGAGTCCTGCTATCCACATGAAAGCAATCAGTAAGATGTAATTGAGCCAGTGGCTCACACCTGTAATCCTAGCTACTCAGGAGGCTGAGATCTGAGGATCACGGTTTAAAGTCAGCCTGGGCAGGAAAGTCCCTAAGACTCTTATTTCCAATTAATCACCAGAAAACTCGACATGGTGCTGTGGCTCAAGTGATAGATTGCCCACCTTGGCTGAAGAGCTAAGGGATAGTGCTCAGGCCCACCACACCCCCAGCCCCACCACCGGAAACACAGACACAGACATACACACAGATGTAATTGAGTCCTGGACTCAAAGGTCTCAAAAAATTTTAAGCTGGGAGCCCATGGCTCACACCTGTAGTCCTAGTTACGCTGGAGACTGCTGGTATCTGAGGATTGCTGTTTGAAGCCAACTTGGACTGGAAGACCCCTGAGACTTCTCTCTAATTAAACACACACACATGCTAGAAATGGAGCTGGGTGAGCAAAGAAAGCCCAGGGACAGTGCCAGGCCCTCCCTGAGTTCAAGCCCCAGACTGGCAATGCCCACACAAAGTTAAGTGCTCTGTCTCAGGATCAGGGAAGGCTCTTGGTGGGCCTAGCTTCAGAGTAGCATACCTCTCAGTCTGTGCTGCAGATAGAGGAAGAGGAGGCCCACTGCAGTCTGCAGGAGGAGCACAGGCAGCACTGCGATGAGAACCAGCACTCCAGGGTTGATCCAGTAGAAGGGATCTGAAAGGCAGAATTGACTTTGCACAGCCTGCTTTCCCAGCATACAACACAGCGCTTTGCATATCACCTATGCACATCTTCTCATATACTTTTTTTGGCACTGCTGGGG